TTTAAACAAAATCAGCAAGGAGCAAAGGTTTAGCATTAAGAAATCTCTTCACACTACACTAATCAGTCTCAAGGTCTCGAGATTGATAAAATCACTAGTCACTTACTACTCATTTGTCCTTTTTGGTTGGGTACAAAGACTGCGTACCCAACCAAAAAGGACAAATGAGTAAATAAATGCACGGACACTACACAACTGCAGCTAATGACACTGTAATTGTGTTCCATTATTATTTAAACCACACCGAATGCCCTCTTAAGTATTAAAGCGCAACATCACAGATGTCCAAAATCCAGCTTCATTTAAGAAACAAAGCACTAATAATAAAATGGCCTGACTACACTGCATGGCTTTCTATTAAGTGTCAAGGAAAAACATACTGACTGCCATACAGAACTAGTGTCAGAATCCCAAAATCCCTTTGTTCAAATCCAAGTATTGTCACTCATTATCTGTGGCTATGTGATCCCAGGTGAAACACTGAACAAATTCAGCAAAACAGAGACAGTGAAAGGATGAGCTGACTAGAGCATTCTAAATTTGGTCTAAGACTCTTGTGCTTGACTTGAAATCCAGAGGTCTGGGCAGTATAAGTGAAAGCTGTATCAATCGTCCACTGAACATCTACATTTGGACATTTTCTGGCCCAGATTAAAGTCTGGTGAAAGGGGAGCTAGGCCTGACAAAACACGTTGGAGGATGGAGGATGCTTAGTGTATTTTCCAAACAGGGATATAAAATGTTGGACATAACTGGTAATTCTAAATTATTAAAAAAGAGAAAATATAACAATTGTAGGAAACAGATGGTTGAGTGAACACAAGGACTACAGACAACTAGAGGCTACTGTGAAACAGCTCACGTTGAAACAGAAAGTTTTGTTACAATTGGTATAAATCTGCAGGATGCTGTATAAACTTTGGAATAGACATTTCCTAATGTGATTTATAATGTGCCATGTGGAAACTGTAAATAAGTGCAATGATTTTAAAAGAAAAATGAGAAAAAGACCAATATAAACACAATTTCTCCAAGGACTAAATTGTGGTGTCCGCACATACTTTAACATACAATTTCAAATGGCCCAAACTAAGAATGTTAAAACTGGAACACCAAGCAGTCTGTGGCTCAAATCTTTCTCCTTCCTCATAACCAGTATGAGGCTAACCAATTACATCTACCTGACTCCACAACACTTTAGAAAATGACATTGTCTTCCTTTTCTTATTTTAGAAGTCACTTAAATGGCATGCTATTGACCAATGTTCCTCTGCATAAGTACTAACTGCCTGTCATTTCTGCTCTCATAAGGGAGACCTGCTGATTTTATTTTTATCAGACAATCTTATATATTGAAGCATAATTTCATAATTGGCTCTTCCGAGTGTGAGTCAATTACCAGTTCTCCTGGGAGCCAAGGCATCATTATTATATAAAAGTATCTGGAAAAACCTGGCTCAAGTTGGGAATGTGTCAAAGCTATGGAAGACAGAAGAAAAAGCCCATAAGCTGAGGCTTCTTGTGTCAATTTCCTACATTTTTGTAATCCTGCCTCTTTGTTACAGTATAATCAATCCATCATTGTGTTTTTGGTAAATATAAGGGAAACCAGAAAAAAACAATTAAAGAAGCAACACGATGAAAACCATCTTCACACAGAGTCAATGACTTAATAAACCTCTATCCCCTGAAGGCCAAATTAAATGAAAGGTTGGGAATGCTAGTCCTCATAATTCACTGGGTTAATGCTTGAAAAATAATGTCCATAACTAGGAAGGAAGTGGAACAGAACGTAGTACAGTAAATTGTTATAAGAACCACTGAGTCCACAACTTTGCTAAATTTGCACATGTGCTTAAATGTCAAACAATAAGGGACATAACTAAGCAGCAGCACAACACGGGAATAAAAAGAACAAGAAACCCCTCAGTAAAATAATCACATCCCAGTCAAGGAAGTCTCTTATTGATTTGTTATATGAACATGGTATGTTTTATAGTATATGCTGTACCTGTCTCAAATACCAGAGCTACTGCCCCATCACCACTTTCACACGGGTGTAATCATGCAAGGACTAAACAGTGGAAGTAAAACATTTTAGCACACAGAAATTAATGGAAAACTTGAAAAAAAAGTCCTTCTACTATGTTGTTTGTCAGTCGGATGTGTCAAAATAGGCTTTACTCGTTGCTTTAAAATGAAGACATTATAAATCTAGCAGGGTAAGTAGAGTGCGGAGATTCTTCAATCTAACAACCAAATGCAAACCATAAATCTGAGTGTACAACTGCCACCGGCCACTCACAGTGGGGAATGAAATATAGTGTAGCACAAAGCAATGAAACTAAACTGGATTAACAAGGCATGAAAATTATAATTCCCACATCTTGGCTTTCCGCATCACAGGGGGATCACCATCTTTCTTTGACTCTCAGCCGAAGGGTTTTGGCTACCAGTACACTGGCTTTGCCTAACTGCTCAATAAAGTCTCTTCTCCGCTCATCTACCAATTTTAACCTCATATTCCACATGTGTTTTTTAGTGAGATACGACTGGGTCATTACTGCTTCAGAATACCGTAGATGCTAAACTTTTGGTGATCTGAGAGCATTTTCCTTGCAGTCTTTAGCATACATTATCTTAAGGACTATAAATGCAGAATACAGAATGCTCAAGGAGATATTTTACAACAGATTAAAAGCTGGGGAAATTCAGAACATTCATTTTTATACATTGTGGTTGGTATTCATGGTACAGCACAGCCACTGTCAAAGTTGAACAACTAATGTGATTAGATACCAAATTAAAAGTGACAAAACCTAGATTTCCTTAACAAAACTACACTGCAGCAAACAGAGCACTCCAGTTATGGAAGAAGAAAGATGAAGTGAACGCCACAATTATTGTCCCACACCTGAGCAGCTTCAAGAAAATTGTTTTGCACTGGTGTGAGACTTAAACTGTGGAGAACAGCAAAATGATGCCAGTGTTTCCTCTTCTGTATACCCTAGTTACACATATGGATTCAACACAAACAGCATACCAAGATACAGAAAACTTGCTAAAAAAATAAACTGAAACACAGGTAGCATTTTAGACGACAAAAGTATTTTGTGAGAACTGCTTATTGTGACAAAGATGAATGTCTGGGCATGGATTGAATCGAAGCCTCAACCAACCACTTACACACAAATTCCCAATTCATTACTTCACTCTGGCTTTCTATGAGGCAAAAGCAAAAAGACTCTTGCCGATACAAAGCTACCATTCAATAACACAGAGGCAGGTGAGTTGAAGTTTTGATGTAATCTGGGCTTTGGCTCACATACTACTTAATGAAAAGTTTGAAAGCAGCTAACCTGCTAAGAAATGAAAATAAGGTCCATGTGAGGTAGTGACACATACTGATCTTTAGTCTTTACAGATGCAGTGGTGGTTCAGTGGTAGAATTATCACCTGTCGTGTGGGACGTCTGGGTTTCGATTGCTGACCAATTCATTGTTATTGGCTAGATAGACAGAATAGTCTCCTATCATTTGTAACTGCTCTAATGTCTCACTTTTCTGTATTTCTCATTTTATTCTGTGACAGTTCAGTGACCATGACAGTTCAAAGACAATTCCCTTTCCAGTTTCATCTGACCTGTCTCCTCACTACATAGAGTTGAAACACTGTGCTTACTGATCTGCAAGAGGTTTATGCTTCAGAAAAGTGTTTCCCCTTCAATGAAGAGCCCAATAACCTTGAGACTGAGAGGAAAAAATAAACATATAACAACAGAAAATGAGTTTTACATTTAGGTTAAAGCTTACCAAAAACTGTGACTCTGTTGCTTTAAAAAGTTCTGCCAGCATTTCATTTAGTGTTATTAACTGCAGCAAGTCTATCTTCTACAAGTCAAAAGTGTATTCTTGGCTAGAAGACAGTGAAATGTTTGATGGTCTGAAAGTACCCAAAAGTTGAATCAATAACAATAAAAAGGCAAACCTTGCTTTATTTACTTTAGCTGTTGCTCTCAGACATAAGAGCTTGAGTCAATATCTGATTAGGAAGGCATATTTTGTTACTCCTACAGTAAGAATTTTAAAATGTAGGTCAATATCAGAGTTTCAGACAAAACAAACAATATCATACCTTAACTGCTTCATAAACTAAGATAACAAAACGCCTTCCGATTTGCTTGTTCCAGCGAGTCTCACAATTCACTGAATACCTAAATTCACTGCATTACAAAAATAATTCACTTATATTTAGACTTTATTTAGTTGAATGGTGTTGCATGTCAAGAACAAAACAATGAAAACTACTGCTTAGCTGATTAAAGAATGCGATCCAACTAAACTGAGTTTAATATTTTCATTTAAAACTTTTCTAAGGAATATTTGAGGCTACAAGCAGCAGACTGTGTAATCCCACTCTGTTTCTTCAAAAAGACTGAAATCTCATAAAATAAGGGGAAAATAAATACACACAGATGGACATGAACACTTGCTCTCAACAACTACATTCCTCAGCATTAACATAAAGATACTCACTAAGCAATAAGGTGTCCCGAGGGCTGTGTATGCACAACTTTAAAACAATGGATTGCAGCATAAACATGAAATACTGTGACAAACGTCAGCTGCTTGGACATATGTCGAATGCTTACATAAGAAAAACACTCTGCATAATTTTAAACCATTCATGAATTCATGAATGAATTCTTTATAAAAATCTGCTCTGTTTGTATAAGAAACTTTATAATCATCACAAACTCTGGCAAAGGAAGCAACGGTAGAGCAAACAGAGGAAGAAGGGTCATTGACAGAGCTGAAGTCACATTATTTACAGTAGCTCAGGTGCACTTGGAAAAAATCTTTATTTCAAGGAAATGTTTGGTAAATGATAACTCTGCAAGATCAAGTTTGGTAGCATTCGGTTTAAAAGCATGGAAGGTATAACAGCTATGAGGATCACATGCTCAGGGTTTGAAAAGAAGCACACATCTGTCTGCTTACCTCCAAGTAACTTGGACTGACAGTTAATAAACTCAGGCTTCCTGTCTGCAATATGCCGCTGACAAGTGTGATGGAGGATTTGAACGAATGTGCATTTCTCTCCAGCAGAGCCAGCAACCCACTGGTCAAAGGTATTGTCAAATACCAAATCAAATTCCGCACAGTCCTAAGGGAATTAAAAGAAAATCATATGAAACCACCAGACTTTTTCATCTTTCTCTTAAATAAATAAAGAGACGCCCGCTGTCTTGTCTTGCACAAAGCATATGATGAAAATCCCTTGTATAATAAACATCCTTTCAAGCCATCTTAGTCAACACCTTCTATAAAGCTATGAGCTACACAGGGAATCTTACATGATATTTGGCAGTGCTTAACTGCTACAAAGTACAAAAGACTGAAGAACAGACTAGTCAACATTTTTAATACCATGCTGAATGTCAACATGGGGGAAGTCATTCATGCTAAAGGAAAATATGAGAACTTGCTTGGGGGCACATGCTCTGTAAAAGCTACGTTAACATTGTTCTTTGTCTGATGTGACTGGCAGATCCTCGCACACCACACAAAAAAAGGTTCAATAGTATTCCAGAACCAAGAGTTGAAAAAAGCAGCAGGTGTAGATCAATCCTAAAAGTGAACAGAGAAGAAAGAAAAAAGTGAGACTCACTCGATTTGGGTCGATTCCATTCACCTGTCTCAGCTGATCAATTGTCCACTGTGATCTTCTCACAAAAGATGATGAGCCTTCAAATTGTTTGACCTTGGTAATGGAGACCTGAGAGGGCTTCTTATTTGTCACTGGGAAAAAAAGAAGAAAAGGGGGAATAAATAAATATGTTCCAAGGTCGTTTCTTCTCTAATTCCCTAGCTGGGAATGATAATGGCAGCATTAAAAATGTAGTGCATTGCCCCTTGCACATGTTTTGAGCCATGCAAAGAAACAGGAAAAGGAATTCAAAATTAAGAGTGAGATTCTGAATACAGTAATAAAGTTATTGGTAATTGGTTAATAAAACAAACTAATAATCTATCGTTTTTAAAAGCTTTTATGTGCTTTCATAAACCAAGTGTGCATATACTGTCTACTATATATATAATTCAGCTGCACAGGTAGTCTGGTAGACACCTTTTTTGCACATACAGAGATTGTACCTAGACAGCAGCCATATGTAAAGTATTGAAGCATCTCTATATATTCAGTGCTCTCCAATGTATTGGGACACTGGAAAAATTTCAGGCATATATTTGGTCATATTAGTACTAAAATAAACCAAATTCAACCCAGTGATTTTGTGTCCCTAAACGTAAAGGAACAGGTTTACTTGTCAGTCCTTGGTTTCACACTCCTGTGATGTAATGAATGCATGAAGTCAATGATCCATTTCTCAACACGAGGGCACTACAGGCTCTTTGTTACAAGTCACAAAATAGTTTCACTGTTTCCACTGTTTTCTTTCATTTTTATTTAGTGCATCTTGGTTTTCCACTAGTTTTAGGGAGACTAGTATGCACAAGAATGAGCAGCCATTTCCACCCTAATTATATGTGCACATTTATAAAAGTCCCCTCACACATGCTTTAAAAATCAAAACTAGAAGTAAAAAACAGGAATGACACGTTTCCTCCATTACGCAGTTCACTTCAGGAAACAGAGAAAACTTAACAATAGATAACTTTACAGTGGCCAGAAAAACAACTTACACTTTTCATTAGGCTGTAATGAAGCCACAAGTGTGTTGTACAGCCAGCTGGAGTAGACTGATTTTTGCTAATAAAGACACTTTAGCATCTATCGTCTTTTAAACCATGTCATCTTAAAATTTAGTTTGGCCTTGCAGAAGATTATGGCTATTTTTCTTAAGGAGGATTAAACATTTTAAGATTGATAATGTCCTACTGTTTTACTAATCTTCTATTGAATCTGCTTAACCCGATTTGCTGTTCTGGGAATCTGAACCGAGGAATAAGAATAAACTGGGGAGTATTGTATATCAGACTATGTCAGATGCAGTAGTAATTGACGCTTACTGTATCTTTCAGCCCTATCTCACATCTGTCAGCTATAAGGTTTGCGTAAAACAAATTCCATTCTAGAGGACCCATCACACCCTTTTTTCATTGATTTCTGATTACTCCCCTCAGAACATGGACACAGATGTCCCAATATAAAAACAAACAGGTTTAAGCTCTCAGTTACACCTGTGGTATTAACCTTACTTAACAGATTTTTCTTTTGTGCATTTATATGTGTATTGTTTCGTTGTGTGTTGTCTTTAAATTATCTGCTGCTCTAAAACAAATTGCCCCTTGGGGATAATAAAGGCCCTCTCTCTCTTCTAGGCCTTCTAGCCCTGCTAACACTTTAAAAGACAGTTTCAAACTACCTTCAATTTATGGAGAAAAAGCTGTAAACACTACACGTAAAAAATACTTAGGCACTACCCTAATAGCACAAATTTGACAAAATAACAAGTACTGCCACTGACACAAGGCTTTTAAAGTGCTCTTTTCTATAAAGGTAGAAAACAATAAAAAGAAATTAGATCAGTTATTCCCAGCAATAAGAGGTATATGGCATTGTTACTTTACTGTAACCTTGCTCTTATTACATCCTCTCAGATATCGATGTTCTACAGTCCTCCTTTAAAATCAAATGCCCCTCCACTCCTCAATCCTTAATTCTAGACAGCAGGCCGGGTGTTGCAAGAGTCCTGTGAACATTATATTCTTTAAGCTTAGAATACTATCCAGTCAGTAACACAAGTCATCAAAATGCAGAAGTGACAGCAGTAACACAATTGTTTTTTACATTTGTAGCCAATGCCAGAAACCACTGTATGCTGGCAGAATGAATAGAAAGTAATAAGAAAAATATTTGTTATCTATTATACAAGTATCAACATAAAGGTTACTTGCACAGAGATTAGTTTTACAATAGCAACACTGACGAACATTATTTCAAAAAGGACATGTGGGGGTGATTTAATGTATGAGCCTATCTCCTAGTATCCATTTTCCCATGAAAAAGACCTTATAGTTATAGCTAAACTATTATTTTTGCCCTACACAAAGTTATACGTATTGGTGGAACTGCAAAAGCAGAAAAGCCTTGAAAATCAAGACTGCTGAAATAAACCACATTGTATGTCAAAAAGCCATAGCAAAACAAGGCTCAAACAGAATTTCAGCTGATGTGTACTTTACGTAGTAAATTGGTGCATTTTTTTAATCCAAAAGATCCTTAAAATTTACAGTCTCTCACAATGTATTCCTATACTGAGATCCTCAGTGCATATAGCCTTTCTGGTCATGAAAAGCCTTCTAAACTGTCCTAATTTCAGCTTCCTTTGTTCTCCTTTCCCTTTCAAGAAGCTGCTTTAAAGTTTATCTTTTGCATCTTCCATCTCTTGGTTCTATTTGATGTGTTTCAATTCTTAGGCCAACTATGATGACAAAGTTAATGGTTTAGGAGTATCAGTCAGACATTAGATTGACGTAAACAATAAGCACTTCAAAGTACCTATAATAATAATCAATGTGCTTGATTTGACAAAGACAGGCTTTTACCTGCAGATAGTAATGGCTTGAATTGACATCACTTGAATTTACATATTCTATCACTTTTCTTATCACTGAGACTTTCATTGAAATAATGAATTTAGTGATCAGCTCGTTTGAGATAATGTTTTATACTTTACAAAAACTTTCCAAGGTTCTGATCCAAACTCGTTGTAATAAAAAACAAGGTCAGAAAAAAAGTTACTTGATACAATCAGAGACAACAAAAAAAAAAAGCTGACATCCTTCAAAACACTCCATTAATAATCTGAAATTATGACTACTTTCCAGATCTCTAAATTCACAAAATGGCCAATATTTAACAATATACCACATCCAGTGTTTGTAACAACCAACAGATTTCCAAAAAATGTGCAGCTCTATATTCAGAACACTGATCCAAGCTGAAAACATTTTGGATATATATAGTCTATGATCTCTAGCTATAAAGTCTTTATGTTTACATGTCCTGTGCCAGAACCTACAGTATATACGTCACAGGAAACAAGTATCTCGGTGTTCAGAAGTGGATACTTCAGGGAGCATACTGTATTATAGATTCCATATTCATTTAGCCAATAAATGAGACTTTATTTGAATTAGAATAGATTTGTCCTCATAGCAGGCTTTAATTACCTGGGAATGTAGCCCTTTCAACAGCATTTTCCATTGATCTCTCAAGGACCTTCTGTTTCATCTTGCAATCACAGGCTTTTCCATATACTAAACTTACTTTCTTTGTAATCATACAAGTACATTAGCATGGAATGACATATGAACATATATCACACTGTACCATGCTGATGTAGCAGGGACCACTAAGCCTGTTGCAAGATTATGTTGTTCCCTAGAACTGACTGAATAGATCTGAGAGTGGGAGTGCTGCAGTGAGAGTCCTGGTCCTCTTGCACTGCTGAATTCATCACTGTCTGAAGAGGCTTGGAGCTGGGAGGTTCCTGAGAGCACACTGTATGATTGAATCCTGACATTGACAGAGTTTATGCACCTACACCTGCACTATGACAAAAATAGTGCTACATTTAAAAATGTATATACTATAGTAGTAAATATACTGCTGTCATTAAAATGACATTCTCCTGGAGTGAGGTAAAACAGGTCTGTAAAACATAGGAGAGAAAATGTCATAGCGAAACTTAATGGTCTAACTTAATTTTAAAAATGTGGAAAACTGATGACGCTGAGAGGCATATTCTCTCTCCATATTATCAGAAAAAACAACAACAAATGTATTAAAAATATTCTTAAAGGGATCTATGCTGGGAGCTGAATGGCACTCTCTATAAAAGGAAATACTGGACTATTTAAAGATTACCATAAGGATGAAGAAAGATAGAAAAAAATTAATCAACCCTGGTATGACAGTTTAGCTCCAGCTTTAGTCCATTACATAAGAGAGAAACAGCTTGCTGGAAGGCACATGACTTTAGCTTAAGACAATATTGTACTCTATTACCTCTCTCACTCAACACACCATATCCAATCACATTAATTACAGTACTGCTCAGTCAGTTACACTGAAAAACTGCAAAATGATCAGCTGTGACAGGTGGTATAGTGGTGCTGTCTATCAGCTAAGTAAACGTCTTCCAGTCATCATTTGTTCCAATTAAGTACTTCTTTGCCTGCCAATGATATTTGGTAATAGGCATGAAGTAACCTTCATGTCTGATTAGATTGGGTCCACAATAGAAGGATGTATTAGCAGAAGGGAACAGCAGCAGTACTGTATGCAAGTTCATTTACACACCAATGCATATCTTAATGGTCTCAGTCTGCAATCTATTTTAATGAAGGCTCTGCAAGCACAACAGCGAAAGAGCATTGAATCGGCATACAAACAGTTGGATGATGTTTTGGTCCAGATAGTGCAGTAAGAAAAAGAAACATTACCACACACAAAAAAGCTACCCTATACACAGTATATGGTGAACAAACAAAATCAGTCAGCTGAAAGGTGAAAGATCTACAGTATAGTTAAGTAACGTCCATATAAACTTCTTGTTTTTTTAAGTATTGGCTTACAGTACATTTTAAAATGAAACTAAACTCACGACCTAACTAAATCTTGTCACGACCTCTGAGGAATAGTGTTCTGCACTGCATTTTTAAGAGCAGCACCAGCACTGAGTTATGTAAAGAAATCCAGTTCCTAGCACAATAAGATACACCGTCCTCTGTTTCTGAACATTCACTTTATTCATTTAGACATTTAAAAACTT